GAACCAGAAGTCAGGGGACAAGTAATTGAATCTGTAAAGAAACCGTGAGTTAGGCCAAAGACCGTATTGGGTTAAGAAAGACTTCTTGAAGGTAAGGTTTAATCTCAGCCTTGAAGGTTGGTTTGGAATCCATTGAGTGAGGAGAGAAGAGAACATGAGAAGAACATGTGAGCAGAGGGAGCAGCCTGAATGGTGCACAGGAACGAGAAAGTACAAGAGTGATCCAGTGTTGCTAACATAAATAAATGCCTGATCATAGAGAAGATGTGAGCTGGGATGACATTGGCCAGGGTGTTAAAAATATAGTCCCCCTCTGCAAAGACCAGACGGGCTGTGAAGAAAGCTCAGTCACTAAAGTGCTTGTGAACATGAGGACCCAAGTTCAATCCCCAGAATCATCATGTGATATCTAATGTTGGTTGTCAACTTGACTGCATCTGGAATCACCTGAAACTCAAGCAGCTGGGAAGGCCCTCGGGGATTTTCTTGACTGCTAATGGTGTTAGAACCCACTCTTTCAGGATCCCAATACAGACAGAAGACCAGCATCCCTCTAGGACACCCCTGGGACTCCAGCACCATGCCGACACTGATGCCACATCCAATCTACTGGTCTAAACAACTACTAGCAGTTTGGCCTTTCTAGTGGGAGATTGTCATTGTTGGAATGCATGGATCATAGTTTATAAGCCCCCTTAATAAGTCATAATACATACACACAATACAGTCAACACACACGGACTTGGGAGGGCTTTGCAAACGTCATAGCTGGCAATGAAACCATGTGTGTGAGGCAAGAAGGACATCTTGTTCAGTAGGATTCAGTAGCCAGTGTTGGTTCAAACTTTGAGAGTCTGACACTGGGCAGTTTGTTTTAGACGTATTTAAGTATGGTACAATCCTGAAAAAAAAAAGTTTCCTGGTACACAATTCCATGTGCATAATGGGGCATAATTACATTAAAACTCTTTTCAAAAACATGCCACTTATTCCATAAAGATGGGTTCTATAGATAGGCTACATGTGTTATCTAGAGGATCCGGGGGAGGATCTAGTGTGGTTTCAGCCATACAGATAAGGCAGAGGTCACTTAGGCTATTAGCCACCTCCGGGCCCTACAGATAGCACACGGGCATAGTGATGTTTTATTTATATCTTAATAAATAAGGCTTGTTTGAAGATCAGAAGGTAAAAATAAGTCACTAGGAGCCAGGAAGTGGTGTCACACACTTTTAATCCCAGGATTTGGGAGACAGAGGCAGATGGATCTCTGTGAGTTCAAGGTCACCCTGGGTTACACAAGACCAATGCAGAAACAAATCCAGGTGATGGTGGCTAAAACCTTTAATTCCAGTACTACAGAGTCACACCTTTAATACCAGCACTAAAGGGGAATTTAAAACGGAAGGAGACAGAGGCTCTGGCCTCTGTCTGCTGTCGCCCAGCCTTGGTAGAGGTAAGACTTTTCCAGTGGCTTGGTTATTTTACTTTTCTGTTCTTCAGCTTGAACCCCGATATCTGTCTTTGGGTTTTTATTATTCGTGCTGCACAGGGGTCACCTAGGCTACTGGCCAACTCCATTCTCAATCTTCTGGGTGGAAAACAGATTATAGATTCCTTTGGAATGACAACCCTGCTTGTTTAACATTCTAGATTTTTCTAGCGATTATCTGTGAGCTCAAGGATCTTTCTATGGTATCTTCTAATCCTCACACTGAGGAGAAAGAGACGATTCCTGGAGTTCACTGATCAGTCAGTCTGACCAACATAGCAAATTCCAGGCCAGACATGTTAAAAAATATAGCAGTCTTCATTTGAAAAATAATCAGAATGTCTGGGAAGATGTGTGAGCTATAAACTTTTTTTTTTCTAAATAGTTTCTGAGAAATGACACCCGAGGCTATTTTATGATCTCCACACAAAGGCACAGACATGTGCCCTTGCACCCATACATGCATGAACATGCATCACCCACACATACATAAATAATCAGCAGCTTCAAGAACACAGTCAAGAACTGCAAAAATCTGATAAAACGACACTCATGAGCCAGATGCAGGAACTCAGTGATGCTAAGAAGGTCTGATGTCAGATAGGTTTTAAGCTTAGTGCAAGAATTGGTGCACAGATGTTTATGAACACCGCTTCATATTTTCAATGACCGTTCCTTGAGCAGTAATTGTGTCGGGCAATGAGACTGGCGGTGTGAATGACCCAAAGGCTCTCTCATTTTGTCTAGGAATGAGTTTGCACTAATCAAAAAGACAGCCACATAAACAGATCATTTCAGTGGTAACAACATGGAAACTAAGCGATGGCCATTTGACTTAGATGGCCTTCTCTTGGGCTTTGGTCTTCTGTGAGATTGTAGTAGGTCCGTTTGGGAAGAAAATCGCATCTTGCCTTACCAAAAGCACAGACCATGTCTTGCTAGGCACTCAAGAGTGGTCAGCTGGATTTCAGGGGAACCTGAAATATAGCTGTGTCTCTCTTGCCACTGTGTGCCTCACCTAAATGTAGCAAGAAATTTGTTACATGAAAGGCAACAAAAAGTATATGAATGTATCAATTTAAGATTTTACACAGGGTGGGGGCAGATGTAATACTGGGAGAAAAAGGAAGGGAGATGTGAGGTTAAGACAGGTGAGAGAAGAGGAACTAGTCATGAATTGGGAAAGAAGGCTGTGACTTTCCCACTGGCCTTGGGGTAGCTGGATTTCTGATCATAGCCCTTTCTCTGACCTTATAACCATGCTCCACATTCCTTGTTTACAAGGTCAGAAGTGATCTGTTGTGCACACAATGGGAAAAGCACATGTCTGGAATTTAAAAGAAAGTGCAGGGAAAGGGTCCAGGTTGGCTCTACAGAGAGCATCAACAAGTGTAACTATAGGACACCTGCCCATTGTGCCTCTTTTCCTGTTTCTTCATCTAAACTGGACATGGCAACACCCTTTCCATGGCGTGTGTGAAGACTCCTTTAGTTAGTATAGTCAGTGTGGGCTACCCATCTTCAAAATTTCTAATGTATACCATTCTTCTGTCCCATGCAGAGCTCAGAGTCTGGACAAATGCTTGGATTCATTGAAAGAGAACTCTCAAGGACTTTAGGTTCTGGAGTTGGAGTTTAAAGCTATTTCAGAGAGAAGCTATCAAATCTGAGCAAGCTGCTGTGGACTGTTTTTCTAGGATAGACCCCACCCCAACCGCAACACGTTTCATCTCAAATGCCTGAGGGGACAGTTATCGCCCAGATGGCTCTGATCCACCTGATTTGAGTTCATTCCAATTTCTGCACACACACACACAAAAAGACTTAAGCACAGGGCCCCAGTAGCTCCTAGCACAGCACCAGAACATCACCGGATCTCCACCTCTGCAGGTTGGGCACAGTCCTTCCCAGTTACTCTTCAGCTCTACCGGGTTAGTTGCTTCCAGGGACAGCTGACAGCCTTTTTTAGCCAAGCAGCTGCTCTCTGATACATAGTGTCCCTCATGCTCAAAGTCTGGTGGGTGAGGATTATTTTGTATCCCTATCAGCAGTGGGTAGACTAGAATCAACGGGTTCATTTGATAGCCTCAGGCTGTCCAGGCTGCCATTCAAATCATTAGCATCATAACTCTAACCCTCAAGTCACATCAACCCAGTTTATTATACACTTTTATATAATTTCCATTGCCTAGATCAGTGGAAAGATGGGGAGACTTTCTAGTTTTATGGAATTGCTAATGTGGAGAAAATCCTCTCTCTCTCTCTCTCTCTCTCTCTCTCTCACACACACACACACACACACACACACTCTTCTCTCTCTCCCACACACACGGAAAAGTTGTATATTAAAGGATGTTGAGTGCTATTCTTTGAGCATAACAGCCACCGTCTTCTTCAGAACAGCTGTGACTACTTGCGACTCTCGAGGTAGGGTCTACTGACAGTGGAAGTTCCCTCGTGGAAGGAGGATGTGAGGAGGGCCATTGAACTTTCCTTTGCGATTCCAGCTACCTCTCCTACACCTCTCAGCCAACTCTAAGTAGGTGCTAGAGTGCACAGCCTATCCGCAGGTAACAGAAGAATGAGGAAGGCATTCATGCTGCCCTAAAAATTTCAGGTGCGGTTGCTTTGAGATCTTCCGTGCTGCTGGACCGGAAGTAATCCCTTACTGAAAGCTCAACCAACCTTTTGGTTCAAGACCGAGTTTGGTAGAATCCTCCTTTGGTTTGCTGTTGGTACTCTATCCTAGGGTGTCTCCCTAGGGAAATATCATGAAATAAGAACACACACACTGTCACAGCATCAAAGACAGTGGCATTTTCTTTTTTAAATCCCGAATTGTATCACTGTCACACTGGATGGCTCGGACAGAAGATTTGAAGAAATGCAATAGGGTGATAGCCAATATCACCAGGGAGTGGGCAGACTGTGCACCTCTTATTACTTAGATAAAGGTAGATGTCAAAGAACTTTTGCTTCAGGATGAAGGGTGTGGCTTAGAGCTACATTTGCTTTTTATTCCATCGTTCAAGAATTGAGCCCAAACAGGAAAGAGGTCTAAACAAATTTGCGACATACTCCAGGTTCTCAATACCGTAGGCAGCGTCATGGATCCGTCTACTCACACTAGAGCCGGTCTGCCACAATCCCTGTGTCCGTGCCCCACCTCCACCCCACCCGCTGTGTTTTGCTCGTCACATTTTAAACTACTCATCACGCATGGAACTTGTTTGGCTAAGCCTGAATGGGGGCTGGAAACATTAGCCAACAAAGTAAAAAGAACGGACAAGGACTGCTTCCAGAACAAGTCAGGCCAGAGAGAGCCTAGGGCCAGGAAAAGGCAGAAGGAAGGAGCTCCTCGGGAGTCTGGCCCTGGTCACAGCCCCCGCCCCGGGGCTCCGGGGCTGCAGAAGAGGAGGCGGTGCCTTGGGAGGGAACGTAGTAAAAGCAGAAGCAGCGCCCACACCCGGAGAGGAGGAGGACTGGGGCTGGGCAGGCTCGGAGGTCCGGGTGAGCTGGCCGGCGAGAGGGGACAGCCGGGTTGCACAGGGGCGCGTGCCGTGAGTCCCGGAGAGAGCGTGTGCCCCACGCTCCGTCTTCCAGGCCGGCCCAGGACACGAAGCCGGAAGAGAGCTGCCGAGTGGAAGGGGGGCTGTGAGCAGGGAGGAAATCCAACTCGCCCAGCCCGGGAGCAGGCTAGGTCTCCGCCGGAGCCTGCCTAAAGCCTGGGTGTGAGCTTGGCGTCACGTCAACGAGCAGAGGCGGCCAGGCGGGGCGGAGTGCGCGTGCGCGGCTCGCTCGCTCGCGGGGCGTGGGAGCGGGCTCCGGGCAACGGACACGCGCGCGCGCGCACCCGGGCAGCCTGGGCGGCCGTTCCAGCCTGTCACTGCTGCGGCGCTGCTCGCTGGTCGTTCCCCTGAAGACAGCGGAGGCGGTGGCGGCTCCAGACACCTGCGGCGGCGACCCCCCGGCGACGGCGCGGAGATGTGGCCCTTGGTGGCGGCGCTGTTGCTGGGCTCCTGCTGCTGCGGTGAGTGGCTCGGGGATCCCGGCGGCTCTCGGACTGGTGCGCAGCACCCGGGCGCCCCCGCAAGAGTGTGGATTGCACCCCCGTCGGTCAGGCGGCGCCCCGGAGAAGAGCGGAGAGGAGAGAAGAGGAGAGGGTGGCAGGATGCGCGGGCCCTGCGCACCCCGAGCGCCCCCGTGGGAGGGCCCCGTGGGGCATCGGCGCCCCTGCCTGCCCCCCTTCCTCCGCTCTCCTTCCGTGGTCCCCTTTTCCCCCCGGGGAAAGCGGGCTGAAGCTTCTCACTCTCCAGTGCGCACACGTAGGAAAGACTAGGAACAACCGCAACTGTGCAAGCCTAAACTGCAAAGAAAGCGAGGGGGGGGGGGGCAGCTGCCAGGAACCCCCTCCTCTTGTACCCCTCTCCCTTCTCGGTGCTTCCACGCAGCATTTGGGGCTGAAGGTCTGAAGTGGGAGGGCCGGGGCCTCTTGTGATGAAGTGCGCATTTTGGTGAAGTCGATCAGAAAGGCTTTTGCCCTACCGCGTTAGCACCGGAGCAGAGGAGACGCGTTGAACCTAAGTTTCATTTCCCAACCAGCATTTTTCAAAGATTTTTTTTTTCTGGCTGCGTATTTTGGTGGCTGTTGTTTTGAATCCTAAAAACAAGCTTCCTGGAAACACTTTTCTCCTGACACCCCTGCCGCCACCACCCTCCCCCCCCCCCCGCCAGCACTTTATTCCTTATTATAGATTAAAGTTGTTTTTTTCACCCTCCTTTGGGGAAACTTTTTTTTCTTTTTTCTTTTCTTTTGAATTTACTCAGATGTTGCCAGTATTCTAAAGACAGTAATAACAAATCAAAACACACATGCAGCAGACTGGTCCTTAGATGCCAAAGATGCATCCTCCTCCCCATCTTCTGTAAAGTATTTTTGCTGTTTTTAAACGTGTATCTACCTTTTAAGCTGAGTGAAAAATAGGCTTTTTTTTTTTTTTTGACCATATACTGCCCGCCGAGCTTCGTATCCGTAGATTCCTCTGCGAACTTTTTTTTTTTTTTTTTTTGTAAAAATCAGAACAGGCTTGAAGCAAGGAAAACAGCAAATGTTAAATTTGACTTAGGGTGATGATAAATTAATTCAGCATTAAACTGATGGTTAACCTAGGTGTGCCATTCATAAAGGCCCGTGTCTGGGAACTGGATCCAAGATACCCTTATTCCCTGCTCATCACTTTCCCCTCCCCACGCGTCTTGCATGTTGTAGCTGATAATAATAAAGATCCATGTTATCTAAATTGCTAGTAGTAGGTGCTTTCCGATCTCAGTCATCTTTACTATCTTTGTTGCCATTGCTATCATTATAACAGTTTCCAAATACCTGTTGTATAATCAGAGAGCTTTCATAGTGAGCCAGGTATAAATTTGCAACAAAATGTTACTGATTCAGATGATGGAAGGTGAAGCTTGTTTGTCTGAAAAGTAAAAATATAAGCCATATACTGTGTTTTTTTAAAGCCCTATTTTCAAGTAGATTAAAAAAAACAAAACTGTTAGAACGGCAGGTTTGGTGATAGGAATTGTGTTAGGCCGATGTTGGCAACAGTTATGATCACATTATTTAACGCTCATTTTGTCCAATGTTAACACATCTGAATCTACAAGAAGTGGCAAAATTCAGAACTTGCACTGTTTTGATTGTATTTGCTATTAACTAGCAAACAAACAAAAAAAACAAAAACAAAACAGAAATCCAAACCCAGAATACAGGCATTAGTCTTTTGAGTTATTAGACATATGTAAATCAAGAAATGAATGTTTGTCAATGATAAATTGGACTTTTGTGTGTATATCGTATGTAGGTTGAAAAGAACACGTATGTAAACATGCTAACAGTCTGAGAACACAGGCAGTTATCAAGGACCCAAGAGAGTAGATTTAGAATCTAGAGTGAGTAGGAAAGTCGTGGATTTCTAACGCTCATTTGTGCTGGGGTGGATCTCATTTTCAGTTTCATTTATAATGAAGCGGGCAGCCAGGGGGCATGCCATTGTAATCCTCGCAGTTTCAGTGACCTCTGTGGTTAAAAGGGGAGTGTGCGGGGCTTTCTAACACCCCCTTCAGCCAATTAAAACCAAGTGCAGCCCTCTGTGATGGCTTACAAGATTTGGCATGAATGTCCCTACTCCTCCCCTGCACGTCCAATCACATTTCCTTTAAGAGCATAACAGTTTCCGGGTAATCACTAACTAGTAAATACAACCTTAAATAAATAATGTCAGCCGTATATATGAACCGATAATTTCTGTGATGGTTGAATGATTTTTCTTTGTTCCAAGTGACTTTTAAAAGTCAGGCTTGCACATGATTGAGTTAAAAATGTTTTATTATCTAAATATAACAGTCATGTAGCTGCTCAGGTAAAAATGTTTTCTTTTCTCTTGAAGAATATATTATTTTGAAGAGCAAGTTGGCATTTTAAAGGAGTAAGTGCCTCTGTACGCTCCCTGGTCTGTGGAGCTGCAGCAGCAGGCTAGAGCAGCAGGCTGTGCCTTGCATGCAGCGTCTACAATGGGACACTTCTCTTGTCACCTGAGTTTTGGCAGATAACTTCACTTCATTGATAAAGCTCTAGTAAAAGTTTGGAAGACCTTTTTCTAAAGGCAAAAAGAAGAGATACCTACCCCTCCATTGATACATGTTCCAAATACAAAAATCACCACAATTCATGTTTTTATTTCAGCAATGTTCTTTTTGTGCTACCATGTATGGAGGACCATTTTACCTGCCTTTGAGGTTTTTCCTGTCATAGAATTTTAGATAAAATACAAGATTCAACATTTTTGCAGCTTGTGTCTCAGTCTAATCTAATGCCTACTCGATGATAAAGTTGCTTTCACTTTGCATATGAGTGCAGTCACTCGTTGGGAAAACAACAAGGATGATATTGTAGATTCAGTTTTGCTAAAGTCACGGTAGTGCAAATGTGGTTCTTATTTCCCTAGACCAGTGGTTCTCAACCTTCCTAATGCTGCAGCCCTTCTTCATACTGCAGCTCTTCATACTGGGGTGATGACCCCCCCCAAACATAAGATTATTTTTGTTGCCACTTCAGAACTGTAATTTTGCTGCTGTTGGGTTGTGATGCAAACGTCTGATATGCAGGATATCTGATCCGTGCAGCCCCACAGAGGTCGCGACCCACCGGTTGAGAACAGCTGTCTTAGACACAGACTCCAGGTGTGGAGTTTCCCTCTTTGTGGTTACATGGAATTGAAATTTCAATGAGAGGCTCCACCCTTCTTTGGGTATTTCATTCCACACCCGTGGAGCATTGCATAAGATTTAGAGTCTGTTCAGTCAGATTGGGGGAAGGGGTAGGTTAAGAGAATTCATGGGCAAAAAAAAAATTTTTTTTTTTTTAGTTTTCTCACTTTTAGCAAGTGTGAGCTCATGCTGCACCCCACTACATTCTCCACCAGAGTCTTAAAGGCGTAGAGACACACTTCAAACTTGAGCGCATCTTACTCACTGTGTGGTTTATGGGAAGGAGAAAATGCTTATCTTTTAGTGGCACATGGTCCATTTCAGGTCATGATAAGGTCAGACTTCAGGATGTTACTGACTTCAAACTACCCCAACCCCTATAATTCTAGATCTCCTGGTTCTGTCCTTCTAAGGACTCTTAAAGCCAGCGAACGGGGCAGGGTCGCTTCGAGTCAGACTGAATTAAGCTGTGGACTCTGCACAGGACCCCTGCCCTTTATTTTAGCATCTACCAAGAAGAGCTTGGACTCTATCCTTCTCCTGCCCTGACTTAGTTTTAGTCTCAGACCCAGGTTGTTCCAGGCAGAGGCTGGTTCTAAGGGCAGAGCTGTAGGGTTCCATTCCGCCCACCCATGTCTTTCATCATGAATGCTTCAGTGGCCTCAGCAGCCACTGGGGCTTTCCAACCCATTCGTGAGCATCACTCCAAGGTCACAATTCACTAATTACTTCTTTGTGAGAAGAGGCAGGATGGTGTTCACCTCCCAGCTGCCCTCCCAACACTGCTACGCCCAGCTTCATAGACTGCCTTCTTGCCCCCTCTTTCACCTAGCTCCAGAAGAAGCCCCATTCACTTTCCCAAGGTGATGACAGCCTCTCTACCTCTCTTTCATATCCACCACCTCAGAGACCTACTCCCAGAACTTATTCCTCTGTCTTATAATGTAGATCTTGCCCTTCCCATTGACTTCCTCCCCTTAGCTTGCAGCCGTTATCAAGGTTTACCTCGTAATTAAAAGGAAAACCGAAGCCTGCAAAGATCCCGAAACTCCTTGCCCTTGTCCTCACCTCGACACTTGTTGGACTTCTCTGCTTTCTGACTGAGAGGTTTATTTAAAGGCTCAAGACGGCAGCGTCCCATCACCTCCCAAGTGCAGCTCCCACGTGGTCCCGTCCGTTGACAGACATCCTTACATGGAAAGCAGCTACTTTTGAGTCCTTGGTTTGCTTCTTCAGTGTTTGACATCCGGTTTAGCATCTCCTTTGTCCATGTGAACTCTAGCCCTGCCTGTAGTCTGCCATATTGGTGGGGTGGCTTGTTTTGCTTGCTTCTCCCGCTTCTCTCACTTCTTTCTCTCCCTTGACTTATTCTCTTTGATAATCATCTCCACGAATATTGATGTGCCCAACTTTTGTTCTCTGCTGTTTGCTCTACAAGCACCCTGTGTGGCCAGTCCTTTTTTATGCCGGCGATTTCATCTGCCAGCGATATTCCTGCTGATTCCTGAGTCTTTATAGCTCCGACCTTTCCTCTGAAATCCAAAGTCATAAACTGTAGGATCTACTGAACATGACCACTTCACTGTACCACTGCTACTTTTAATGCTTAGTCCGAAACCCTGAAAGGATAACTCCCCTAAATCTTCAGCCTCTTTTCCATGTGATTAATCCACAACCAGCTAGTTCCACAGACTATTTTAGTTTCCAATTTTCATTTTTCCTTTTTTATCTCCCTCACCTCCCACATCTGACTTCTGTTGA